GGAAAAAACATCTTGGATTTGAGAATCCTGCTAGCATATAGCCAAACATAAGCAGAGGGGAAAGGAAATAGCATTGAAATGTATACTTCAAATTATTATAAGAAGAAATTCTCTCAAAAGACTATGCAACACATCGGACTTTTAAAGCTTTCCATTTGTACCTATGCATGATCAGGATTATGTCACAGGGCTGGATTTTCATGGAGTTCAGCTGCTAATGGAAATCTTTCAGAATGATGTGTAGTACACATACATAGAAATCCTACTCCCATTCCAATAGATCCCAGACCTACCTGGGAGCAGGCTATTTTAGATTGAGTAACGTGTACTGTGCTAGGATTAATAAGATCTGGCAGTTAAGGATACTCTGTGATCACAACATGGTAGAATTTCAAATCTAATTTGAGGGAGAATGACATTGGTTTGACTCAGCACTGAGTTCACATGGCCCTGTTAAGTTTAGGTTTCTCTCAAATTTGAAACACATCATCCTACTAGTGAAATGGAATGTGTTGGAATTGGAGGCAGGATTTTGTAGTCCAGGTCCTGCACCATGTTTAAAGACATGTGCAGTCTCCAGGACTTTGAAAATGTAACCCTATTATTTGGTTGTGCCCGAAGATTCATAAAACACCCACAATTTGATTTGTTTTTTTATCGTAATAGACAGGTCACTGCAATCATAGACTTGGTGAAACAGACCTTGATGTGCTACTGTTCATGTCCTGTAATCTTAATTCTTTAAATGGAACTCAATTCATGATTGCCAACTCTGCTTTCTTCACTTGGCTGCAAGCCCATACTTACAAGACAAGCTCACCATTGGCTGACACACACACACGTTATTACACCACAAAGCTCTGACACTGACAATATGTGAATGAATCATAAGTGGTGTCAGTTGGCCATAAATTTAAAAAAAGTCATCTGGAATTTGCAGTACATCTCAAACATTGCAATGTTTTTTTTAAAAAAACATTTGGGTAGAAGCCAAATTCTGCTCATTCACAATATGCCACAGTTACATAATATTATTCTACTTGGCCATTAATTAGTTAATTTTTTGTTTTTAAAACAGCTGTTGGGTAAGCAGGTCTTTCATGCAACATCAGTTCACATATAGGACATCTGATACTTTTGCCAAGTGTTACATTAATTCATGAAGTTACTAACAATTACTACAGAACATGGATCTAGAATCCAAACTGAAAAGCAAAATTTGGCTTTTAACTTTCAGGTGGTTTATTGAAAAAGGAGTTTCAAAAAAAAAAAAAGGAAACTGACAATTCCCATTCACAATGTCATGCATGGTTTATACTGATGGCTCATCATGTCAAAACAGCAAATCGCTAGGGCTTTTGTTGCGCAGTAATAGTCTCCCTATGTCTGGGCCAGGAAGCCTGGGTTCAAGTCTCATGTGCTCCAAAGGTGTGTAATAACATCTCTGCGCAGGTTTATTTTAAAAAATTTCTACAAAGCAACTCATTCAGCAGCTGACTGGAGTTATTTGATTAATAAATAGGTGGGACCGGGAGTGCAGATGGAGCTACAAGACTGAGGAGTCAGTAAACTATACAGAAAGAAAGAAAGGCATCTTGTTTTCTGCCTCATTGACTGATGTGAATCCGACTTGATACACAAACACCTCAGAGGTGAATGAACCATATCTTTTTCAGAAGCTGGTTTCAGTCCACAAAAATTGCAGATGGTCTAAAAATTACCAGCACTGGAATGCGGTTGTCAGTTGTTGCATGTGGGGTCATAACCAGCATCCTCATCCTGTCTCGATAAAAAACAAAAATCTATATTTTTAATTAGCGTGTGAAATCCCAGGATTCTCTCACTACCTCTTACTCCTCCAGTTTGACATTGGTTTGTTCCACCAAGATGGAAAAATCTTAATACAAAATATTCTTTCAGAAAGCCCTGCATCAAATGGTTGAAGGAGCAGTGGGGAAGGCACGATGAAGATTCATCAGCTTCCCTCACCCCACCAAGAATTGGCAGAAAAGGTTAGATCCAGGACGGTTTATCAGATCCAGGTTTCACCCAAAATTCTAGACATCATATGCTTTGTAGCTGCTCTCAGACATTCTCGTTTGTCGGAATTTCAAATCACAAAAAAAGTTTCATTTTTATGAAAGCACCTTTGACAATTACAAGTTCATTTGTTGTTCCGCAGACGTTTCGTTACCATGCTTAATATAGCTATTAATAAACACATTGAACTCGACCCCATATACATTCCACTACGGAGGAAACCCGGAAGTGAGGCAATCCATCGCAATGGACCCCAGAGTTTAAAAACCAGGCGGGAAAACACACAGTCGCTTCATCAGAGGCTGCACTGAGGGTGTTACCAAGCACGGTAACGAAACGTCTGCCGAACAACAAACCAGCTCGGCAAGCCAACCAACCTCAACACCCACAACCCGAGCTACAGATCTACTCCAAAACCTTAGAATTACAAGTTCCTGAGACACAATAAAAATTCCACTATTCATAATTGTAATAAATAGGATATCCTATGATTGTTGAAATAAAAGAGACACATACTGCAAAGCTTCTTTACTTCACCAGTGTGGCCTGAAATTTTCATGTACATGGAGAAGCTTCCTGCCTTAACAAAAATAGCAGTAGGTCCAGAATCACAAGTTCCACCTCCAAATGTGCATCTACTATTTTTGCAGGCAGTAGCAGCTGATTCTGAAATCGTAAATCTATGGTTCACAGACACAAGTGCACATATTAAGATATAGCTGCCTCAGTCAGAGTGGACTTTTGCAAGTGGAAATTTCAAACCATGACTCCTGGGGTTTCGACCAATTGAAGATCCAACATACTGGGGTTCTCAGGAGACACAGGGTACTCTTTGGATCTGGTCGTGGGACACCTTTGGGAAAGGTCAGCAGTCATCTTGGATTGTTAAATGATAGACACGTGTGTCCATAAATTGGGTGCAAATTCAAAAAGATAGTTGTCTAGCTATCAAGGCAATTTGATCTCCTACTTTTCATTTTTTTTTTTAAAAAGGGGACTGTAAACTTTAAAAAAAAAATGTGATGCTATTTTACTGATGACTATTACTGGATTCATGTTAGCATGGGTCTGGGTGGGATGCTCTTCGGAGGGATGGTGTGGACTTGTTGGGCCGATTGGCCTGTTTCCATACTTTAGGGATTCCATGATTCTATGACTGATTTCACAATCTTTCATCATCACAAATGAGATAAATAAGTTTTCCATTTAATTGAGAGCTCCATGTGATTATAAACACGGAATTGGAACAATGACTTCAAATGCTTGTTTCAGGGCTTAAAAAATGTTTAGACTAATGAACAGAATTTTGCAAATGAGAACATTCTTCTCAATAATGAATTTATCAATAGACACTTAAGAACTTTATTTCAATCTCACGATAGGTGCGGAGATATACTTACGGTGGATACCTACGAGTGCAAGGGCAAAGGGTGCTGTGTGGAGAACATAGTGTCATGAACAAACAGAAGAAATCGGTGTAGTCATCATTCAGCCCCTGAAACCAGTCCTCCACTCAAAAGGATCATGGTTGATGTGCCCCAGGTCTTAAAGTCTATTTCATGTCAATTCCTCATGGTCCTTAGCTCCTTCATATTTATTAACTTCCTATTTAAATGCACCCAGTGATCTAGTCTTCACAACTCTCTGGGGTAGAGAATTCCAAACTCTCACTACTCTCTGGGAGAATGAACTGTGAAGGAATTCTGTTTTAAATGAATACCCTTCATTCTGTAACTATGTCCCTAGATCAAGATTCCCCAGGAGTGGAAACATCTTCTCAACATCTACCCTGTCAAGCCCTCTCAGAGTCTTTTCTGCTTCAGTGTTATCTGTTCTTCTTCTAAACTCATGAATAAGAGGCCTAAACTGTTTATTCATTCTTGATAAGTCAGCTCTTTTATCCCATGCATCAGCCTAGTGAAATCTCTCCCTCTCTCCAGATGCCAGTATATCCTTTCATAAATACAGGGACCATAACTTTACACAGTACTCTAGGTGTTGCCTTAGAAACACCTTGTACAATTGTAACAAGACTTCCCTGTTCCTCCTACCAAAGAAGGCCAAAATTCAATTTGGCTTTGTAATTACTTGCTGCACCTGAATGCCACATTTTTGTGTTTCGTGTAAAAGATCACTCGGATCCCCAGGTGCTGCACTTTATTTACTTTTTAAAAAAGTCTCTCGCCATTTAAGAGGCCTTTTCTTATTCTTCCTCTCAAAGTGCATGACTTCACACTTTCCTACATTATGCATCACTACCAAATTTTTGACCACTCATCTGAAATTATTGGCTGGAATGTAGTTCTTTCCTCAAATACTGGTAATGAGGCTGTTTGATTATAAAAAGGTCAACCGTACCCATGTAAAGCTATGCTGATTAAATCATTAGGCTTTGCCAGTGACTAGAACAGATCATGAACAAGTCTGACATAAATTATAGACATGTGCACTTTAAAAAATGCTGGCCATTACAAACAGTCAAACTGATTTTAATACAAGGAAATTCATACGCCCATAATGAGATTGACCAAACTGGCTTCACATAAGGCAAGTTACAAAGAAAAGCCTTGAGATCTAAAGCATCAGAACAGTAAGTGTTGGAAGACAAATCAGCACTTGTAAAAAGACAGGTCATACCAGAAATGATCTACTTAATTGACAAGCACTGACGTTCTACACATTTTTAAGTATTTATTTTTGGTTTACATAAAGATTCAAAAAGCAGACAGTGCAGATTATTCCTGATCAGCTTTTCCTCTACTCACCACTTTCACACACTGGTTCTCCACTTAGTCAAACAGCTTTGCTGACAATATTAGTGTGACTATTACACAACCCCCACCCCCCTCCCCTAGCAAATCCCAACATAGAAGAAAACAAAATCTCTCCTGGTATTGTTCAATTCAGAATTGGCGCTAACCTCAACAGATGCTGCGAAATATTTGTCACTGGAAACATACCTGGGAAACAGGTAGCTAAGTGCTCCATGAGAGCCTCCTGTGTGACTGGCTTCCTTGATGCATTCATTGCTGAGATGGCCAAGCAAAGTATTTCCCCAAGAGGAATAAACTGGGACTGGCTAATGGGGGACATACTGATTGGTGAGACATCACCTACGGATCAGAAAGAGATACAAACTCAATTAGGTTCACAGAATAAACTACGACTTTTTTTTTGGTTTAAAAGCCATGCAACGTCCACAGATCAAACAAACTTGTCATAAAAAGAAATAATATTCAGTGTCAACATTAACTATGTAATCACATCAAAATAAACCACGCATGAAAAGTAACAAATATTGGAAAACCGTATAAATCTGACACAAACAGCTGGCAAGTGAATCACATACACCTACTCTGTAACTCCCTGCTCTTAACTATATGCTAATGAAAATACCAATAAAAACAATGCAACTACATTAGAACCATAAACAGTATACATACAGAACAGCACCATTTCTTTTGTTCAGAAAACTGTTTTGAAATGGGTCAAGAGTGAAATTTGTATCAGGCTCTACTCAACTGATTCTCCATGCAAGACTGAGATCAAAAGAGTCCAACTCTGGGTCTTGATAAGATATAGAGATGATGTGTTTGAGCTAATTAGATAAATGCTCAACTAGACAATGTAACTTGAATAAACTACATCTTTTGTTAAGAGAAGTGCCTCTCCATGTTAAGACTCAATAGTTTATCCTCTGCCACTTTTAACCAACTAGCCCTTAGACTCCGTATGGAAAAAAAGGATTAGTGGATGTACTCTATCCAAATTACAAGCTGTGGTTGGTAACACAACGTACAACATGGTGATCAACAGTGGAATCATTGCATAAATACATCGAGGTAACAATATTGGAAATAAAATCCATTTGACTCAGGAGAAAACAAATTCAAAAGCAAATAGAAGCGAGCATTCCATTTTAAAGAATTCTCAGCCAGCTAGTGAATTGGGTTAAGCATGGAAACAGTCTTTAGTACTTGTGGAAGAATCAAGAACACTAAAAGTAGAACTAGAGGTGAAAAATCTTCACTTCAGAGTTGGTAAGGAGACGCAGGAAAGACAATGTAGGCTAGTACAGGTAGTTCTGCTATAACGTGTGTTTTGTTAACACGAATTGCCTATAATGCAATTGACAAATAGTGGACTGTCTGGATAACATGAACTTTCTGCTGTGCAGGTATAGTGATTTTCTATCGTGATTTCCCTATAACACAATTTTCTACGGTACGAGGTCACATAAGAAAGCAATTATCGCGTTAGAGGAGAACTACCTGTAAAAGTAAAGAGACTAGTCTTCCTTAACAGATATAAAGTCCTTAGAAAAGGAAGGATCTGTAGGTTGCATCCTGATTCAAGGTTTAGCTCAGAGCTCTGGGAACAAAGTTAAAGATCCTGGCAGATAAAAAGGAAATAAGTATCTTTAAAATTGCACATATAAAGGACCAGGAGAAATAGAAGGTCCAAAAAAGAAGGCAATTACCATTTACAACAAGAGAAGCCACCACGGCAAGTGCACTCCATGAGGCATAGCTACATTAATAACAAAGGTTATCAAATTAATCTATACCAAGCTTGCAGGATCAGGAACAAAGCACTGATTAATAGTGATGAAAAAGGACAATTTAAGATATTCTGAAGTCAGAACTTGATGGAAAAAGAAAAGGAGAATTTTAAGATGGTGACCCCAATGGGAGGTTCATAACTTTAAACTGCAGGTTGTGTGAGAATAATTATTAAAAAAAGGTCACAGCCAAAGTTTATCTGAAAATTTGAGACCATGCATTAGGCCATGAAAAAGGTAAGAAGCATCCATGTGGCAAATGAAGAAATGGCTAAACTTCACGTAGGTTTCAGACAGTGAAAACTCCATTTTGCCCACTGAAGGCAGGAAACCAACAGTTTGAGAGGAAGCATAACAGTGAAACAATATTGTTATAATACGAAAATTTAAAACTTTATTAGACGGAAACACTGTGGCAGTTTAAGAGCATGGAGAGACTTTAAAGACAAGACAATTGAAACAGCATTAAGACACTGCAAGATCAAAAGCTTAAAAGACATCAAATTACAAACAGCACTGGAATGCTGCATATTTGGAGCAGCCTTAAAATATTAAGAACAGATAACCACATGAGAAACCAATGGCAGGAGCAATAATACCAGAGATTTGATATCTGAAAGGGGTCACAATGGACACCTGATGGGACACCACAGTTAAGACACAGAATTTCTTTAAAAATTAAGTTTAGAAATGAGCAAGTTAGTTATAGTCAATAGGACCTACAGCTGATGACGCAAGAGCCAAAATATAAAAAAGCATAAATGCTTTTGAAGAAATTCTAACAGCTTTTGATAAATAATTTAATCTAATAATAAATTTCTTGCTCTTTCAAGAATTAACAGAAGAATTCAGCATTCAGGAAAATCAGATAATTTTAATGACATCTAGAGATTAGTGAGCCATTGCGATTATGGCACTTTCAATTCAGAATTTGTAAGAGACAGTATTGTTAAAATTATTTATGAGTCTGTCACATTTATTATAGGCAAAAAGGAACATCTAAGTTTGCAGGAAGGTCTCCAAATTGTCCTGGAAGTAGAAACCAGATAGACTTAGACAAATCCTGAGGGGGTAAAAAAAAAAGGGGACAGACTTAGTACAGGACCCAAAAATAAAAAACCTATCCACGTTAGAAGCTATGAACATTCACAGGCAGGTGCGAGAAGCCATAGTAAAAAAAAAAGTGGGCTAAATTGCAGATATTAAGAGTCAGTGTCAGCACTGTGAACCAAAAAGCTGAAAAAAAGAACACAAATAGTGCCCACTATGACAAAGGAATGTCATCTATAAATCTATGGGTCACTTTTAGACGACATGGCCGGCACGGACGAGTTGGACCGAAGAGTCTGTTTCCGTGCTGTGGAACTCTAGCACAGTTTCAGAGTTCTCTATTTATTTAAGGATGGCAGTCTTCTTCCTGAAAGGACGTTCGTAAAGCTGATCGGTTTTTACCGACAGTGATTAAATTGACTCTTAATTGCAGATTTTTATTGAATTCAAATTCCTCCATCTGTTGTGGTGGGATTTGAACCTAGGTCTCCAGGATATTACCTGGGTCTCTGGATTAAACAGTCCAGCGATAATACCACAAGGCTGTCATCTCCCCTCACAGCAGAAAGCCAAATGTTTACGAAGATGCTAATGTGTTTGAAACTCCACCGCTAGATAAAAGATACCACAGCCATTCTTAGGGGAAGTTCATAATTCATCTGACCAGAGTTTGACAGAGCTGGTTTATGCCAATGGATACCTAATTAAATTTTAAGTCTTGATATAGGAATGAATATAACCGTCTTGTCAGATCATGGCTGAAGAAACAGAAGTTAACGTCTACACAGATTAAACTACATGGTGCAGGTGGAACAACTAACATTATAGTTCTGAAGAAGAGTGACTGGGTCAAAAATGTTAACTTTGATTTCTCTCCACAGATGGGCTGCTGGACCTGCTGAGCTTTACCAGCAATTTGTTTTTTGTCCCAAGATTATAAGTATGCTACAAGCAATAATGCAAACAGCATAAAAGAGTTGAAAATGTGCACTTAATTCACAAGCAAAACTTCTCTGTTGAGCCCCCATGCATTTCTTGATGCACACATCTTTGCAGTAGCAGAAGAAATTCCACACGTTCCAAGGGAATGACTGTTCCGAAACAAACCACTTGTTGACTGATCAGTAATGGGGCAAAATGGTGGAAGATATCATGGTGGGTTCCTAGTGTCATGGTGAACTGTTAGAGAAGAAATAAACAGTTGCGATTACCTATGTTGGCAAAAATAGAGAGAGCTATTTCCGGTCTACAATGAAGGAAGACTGCGACATTATGGAGGTTGATAGGAATGGAAAACATTTCCTCATCAATTCAGATGACAAAAAAAAAAAAAAATCAATAAAGTTTGCCAGAAGCAGCAAATACTGGGAATAACAAATGAGCATTACAACCCATATGGGCTCATTAATGAATTTCCAATTGATGTTGTTCACACAGCAAAACGCGTGCTGAACTAAAACACAGTAGATTTAAACTTGGATACCAGATATGGGGTGACCCAAGTTCAATGTTTCAATCCCTTGTCTTTCAAAAGAATTGTCAACACCAATGTCATAGATAATGCTACATAAGAAGCAATCCTGTAGCACCATAAGAAGACACGTTAAAATGTCTTGTTCACTAGGAAGACAACCACAAGAGAGTGAATACAGGCATCCAATCCACTAATAAGTTGAAACAAAATAGTTTACACATTTCAATTGATTTATTATTGTCACATGTACTGCGATGATGAAAAAAAGTTTTGTTTTGCATAGTATACAGGCAAATTGTATCATACAAAGGTACTTCAGGGTAGCAGTACAGCGTGCAGAACACAATATTACAGCTACACAGCAAGCGTGAGGAAGTGCAACAGAGTGATCAGAATTAACATTTGAGAGGTCCGTTCATATGTTTGATAACAGCAGGGAAGCAGCTGTGGTTGAATCTATTTATATTGTGTATTCAGACTTTTATATCTTCTGTCTGACAGAAGAGGGTCAAAGAGAAGAAAAGGAGGAGTATAACTGGGGTGGAGGGGGTCTTTGATTAATGTTGGTTGCTTTCCTGAGGCAGCAGGAAGTGTAGATGGAGTCAATGGATGGAAGGCTGATTTGCATGATGAACGCCATGGACAGATGATGTATGTGTTCATGATTCTATAGTTTCTTGTGGTCTTGGGCCGAGTAGTTGCCATACCACGCCCTGATACATCCAGATAGATGCACCATAGAAAGCATCCTATTAAAAAAACCGGCAAAAGTCCTCGTGGACATGAATTTCTTTAGCCTCCTGGGCTTTCTTGGCTGTTGCATTGACATGGTTGGACCAGGAGAGACTATTGTTGATCACTCCCAGGAACTTGATGCTCTCGACCATCTCCACCTCAGCACCATTGATGCAGACAGGGGTGTGCCCTCCACTTTGCATCCTGAAGTCAATGAGTAACTCTTTCATTTTGCTGACATTGATGGTGAGATTGCTGTCTTTACACCATGCTGCTAAGCATTCAATCTCTTT